CTAACGCCAGAATCCGGCGGACTGTCCATGCTTTTCATGTCCACTAAACAGGAAAATCGGCGAACCTGTTCCCTCTTCTCGTTCGTCTTGTTCAACAAAAAATACTTCCACTCTCTTTCCTTCAACGGCGTTCACCATCTTCGCTATCGTGGAACACATGAACAAAAACTGTAGACGGGTTGCCTCTCTACTACTTCTAATCCTCCCCGTCTGCTGCCGACTGTCCGTGTGTGCGCGTTCGTTTTCTCCCCCTACATCCACCTATCCATCTCCCTCTCGTCTTTTCTGTTTATGCACTCTTTTGACCCTCTCTTTCTTTTGTGTTCCTTTGCCTTTTTTCCGTTGCACGCCCCGCCCCCACCTATCACCCCCCCCTGCTGCCTACTAATAACAGCCCCAGAGTATGGCCCAAGCGCGCAAGCAGCATAGCCTCTGCCAGTTCCTGAGGCTCTTCGAGAATCGATATAAATTTGTATATATATATCTATATATGTATATATACACACATGATACACACACACATACACACACACACACACACACACACACACACACACACACACACACACACACACACACACACACCATGCAATGACTCGTATCCCGAAGAACAGCGACACCAGTTCTGTGATCAACTGAGTGACCTTTTAAACACCGTGGATGACAAAGATAAGGTGACAATGATGGGGGACTTTAACGGCAGAGTGGAAACAAGGAAGCCGACGTGGGAGAGATACATGCGGCCACACAGTGACAGGGAAACAGATCAAAACAGCAATGGAGAAATGCTATTACAGTTGTGTGCAGAACATGAGCTCGTCATATCAAATAGGCCTACCTTCTTCCAACACAAAAGGAGTCAAGTTAAAACTTGGTACAAATGCAATGATCTAAAGATAGCATCACAAATTGATTTTATCCTAGCCAAAAGATCGAAACTGAGAAAAATCAGAGACTCAAGAGTGATTCCCATCTACATCACAGACACTGACCACAGACCAGTCATCATGACTATTGACACACCAAACACTCAGGAAAAAGCCAGAAGCAAAGAAACGACGAGAAGTCGTAAATCTCAGAAATATAAATGACAATAACAAGGATAAGATACATGAACGTTTGAAAGATGTAATTCACAAATTTCCCCCAAAATTGGGAGACATGGAAGAGGAATGGAGCCACTTCAAAGCATGTGTGTACAGAGCATTAAAAGAAGAGTTCGGCACCAGGAAAACAAGAGGGCAGAAAAAGAAAACAACTATATGGTGGAATGACCAAGTGAAGTCCAACTGAAGAAAAAGGCATTCAAAAAGTGGTAGAAATCAAAGACAGAGGAAGATTACATCCTATACAGAAAGGACCGCCGCTATACATCAAGGGTAGTAAAAGAAGCTAAGAACAGATCCTTGATACGGAGAACAGCTGGTAACAAAATGTAAAGAAAACCCTTGAGAGTTTTACTAGAGAGTTAAAAAAGCACGAAGATGCGAGAAGAACCATTCAACCCAACTGAAATAGTCAATGATGAGCACGGAAAACCCTATTTTCAGAAAGCCAAAGATTAAGGAAAGATAGAAACGCTATTTCCAGGAGCTGCTGAATCCTACAGCAGAAACAACAGCAAACAGCTTCTCACCGAAAGAAACCACTCCAGAACCATCACTACTGCAGAGTGAAACCCAACATGTTATAAAGAATAGCCCCACAAACAAAGCGATAGGCGTTGAAAACATCACAGCAGAAGAGATCAAACTATACGGCCATATCGGAGAACTCTGGCTATGGAGGATATTTAACCTGGCCTGGACGACAAAAACAACATAGAGCCTACAGAGGAATATCCCTTCTCAGCCGTGTGGATATAACGTTTGCCAAGATACTGGAAATGAGAATGAGAACAATAGAGACTCAACTCAATGAATCCCAGTTTGGCTTCAGAAAAGGCAATGGCGGAACTGACGGTTTTTTGCATTCGGACAGTTGTGTGAGACTGCCATTGGACATGACAAGACCTCAATATCGTCTTCGTGGACCAAGAAAAGGTATTCGACAGGGTAAATAGATGTCAACTTTGGGAAGTCTTAGAGGTTTTAGTAGCGGTTTTACGGCACCCACAACTGCATAAGGTCACATGAGACCCAAGGGTGGATGTCAACAGAGAAGTCCCTACAGGGAATCAAACGTACTCTGCTCACCTTTCTACAGCACAAAGTCTGCTTAGACTACCGAGGCACCCCGGAAACAGCGGGCCACAAGAGTGTGACAAACATACAAAAGAAGTAGAGGAAAATGACGATAGTAAGGATTAGCAAAGAAAAAGGCGCAGTTCCCTGTTGTAGATCAGGCACAGTTATGAGCATGCCATTGTTCAATCCGCCCATTTACAATTCTACTGTGCATTAGAACGTCCCCTGTTTTGGAATGGCATAAAGACACTTCAGTCAGTGGCATCGCCCCGGGGGGTAGTCTTAGAGTAATATGGTGTTAAAGGACAATTGCTCAAGAACATCATGGCACTTTATAAAAACAGCCTGTATGCCGAAAGGTCAACAGAAGGACTATCGGACTCTTTATGAGGAATGTAAACACCTAAACATGATAATCTTCATTTCAAAAACAGAAGTTATGAAGGCAAGAAAAAACCCAAGGAAACTCAACATCATTGTTGACAAGTAGAGGAATTTAAATTTTTGGGAAGCATCTTCTCACTAGATGGGTGTATGGACAAAGAAAAAGAACTATGAAGGCAAATGCAGTGACCTACCAGCTAGCACCCCTTCTCAGTCACAAGAACATCCCAACTAAAGTGACATCCCCAGCTCATCAATAGAATCTTCATACCAAATATTAACATACCAGTGCCAAACATGGTCTCTAAACAAGGCAGGAGAAGGGAAAATCAATGCACGCGAAATTAGATGTTTCTGCAAAACCACCAACGTCACCAGAGGAGACCGCATAAGGAACGAGACCATACGTCTACCAGTAGTAAATTTATTAGAGCGTCAAAGAGTCAAATGGTTCGGACATCTAACCAGAATGCCCCTGAAACAACTAGCGGCTAGAGCTTACCACACCCGCGAATCCGGCTTTAAATCAAGAGGAAGACAAAGAAAGACCTGACTGGATGGGGTTAAAAAGGCCCTGGAACAATATAACTAATTAGCTTATCTATCACAGACGCCGAAACCTGCACCTCCCCTCGACATCCTAAGGAAACCAGAGGAAGGAAAAGGTAAAAAAAAATAAAGTAAGAACTGAGGAGCAAAAGTGCTCACTTTGTTGCAACTGGCATCTTTCTTCAGGGTTGTTTCATCAGTGGAAAAGAGTAATAGGCTTACACAGTTAATACCGTGAGTGGTGGAAGGATGGCGGTGGTTGCGATTATAAGACAAATAAGACAAGAAGGATTATTATATATATAATAGACAAAATGTATAAAGTTGAAGAGCAGGTAAAATGGGATGGAGAAGAAAAGAGAGGTACGGTTTTATGAAAATAAGAGGGGAGTGGGAACACACGAAACCACACACACACGCGCACACACACACACAACACACACACAACACACACACACACACACACACACACACACACACACACACACACACACATGCATACATACACACACACATATACACACACACACACACCCAGAGAGAGAGAGCGAGCGAGAGAGAGAGACGGAAAGAGACAGAGAGAGAGAGGGAGGGGGGCGGGGGGCATGCAGTGGACCCCACAGTACGTAGGCCTAGCATTTTTCGTTCTTGTTCATACGACAGAAAAGAAAGAAAATCTGTATCGGAACTAACAATAGACCTAAGAA